GGGAGCTGACGGCCAGGCAGGGGGCAGAGAGATTTCAGCATATGACGAGTTTGTCTTTGAAATTTCTCATTTCACCCTCACCCTGTATTCATGTGAAGCTAAAACATAAAATTAAAAGTAAAGAGTGGGGTCAGTGAAATGACTCAGCAGGTAAAGGTGCCTGTTGCCAAGTCTGACAGCCTGAATTACCTCCATACGGTGGAAGAGAACCAAGTTGTCGCCTCTAGCTTACACAGAAAATAAATGAATAAACGTAATTTGTAAAAAAAAATAATAATAATAATCGTTAAAAGCCGGGTGTGGTGGTACACATCTTTAATCCCAGTACTCAGGGAGGCAGAGGCAGGCAGATCTCTGTGAGTTCAAGGCCAGCCTGGTCTACATAGTGAGTTCCAGGTCAGCTGGGGCTACAGGGAGACCCTTAAAAAAAAAAAAAAAAAAAAAAAAAAAAAAAAAAAAAAAAAAAATTTTGGAGACTGTGGGGAGAAGCAAATGGCTTGATTAGTTTTCTACTGCCGAACTTCCCACACTGTGAATAGATCAATGTGCTGTTGAAGAAACACAGATTCTTCAAAAAATAACCTTCAGCCGGGCATGGTGGCGCATGCCTTTAATCCCAGCACTTGGGAGAGAGGCAGGTGGATCTTTGTGAGTTGAGGCCAGCCTGGTCTACATAGTGAGTTCCAGGTCAGATGGGGCTACAGGGAGACCCCGTCTCAAAAAGATCAAAAAAATAAATAAATCTTTTAAGAAAAGAAAGTAAGGCGTGGGATGGTGGTGGGTGTGGCTGTCATCCCTGGTCTCAGATGCTGAGGCAGAAAGATTGTTTGAGCCCAGGAATTCATGACCAGCCCGGGCAATGTAGCAGCCTCATCAAAAGAAAAGAGAAAAAGAGATGAGAAAATTTGAGTTCAGAAACGTGACTTGGTCAAGATCACATGGCTGGTAAGCAGCCCAGTCAGGAGCACAGAAACATAGCCTGAGCTCCCTACGGGTAGCCAAGGCTCGTGGCTTACAGACAAGCTCTGTGCTTCATCTTGAGATACGTTTGCATTAGAATTCCTTTAGGACAAATTCTGCTCTGAAATTCTAAATCTTTTCTTAGTAGACGGGTAAAAATCCTCCAGAAGAGGATTTCCTATTTTGAGCTACTTCCTATTTTGCATGAATTAAAGTTTACTTCTCACATATGGTTAAAAGAAAAAGAAAGAGGAAAGAAAAAGAGGAGAAAGGGAGGGAGGGAGGGAGGAGGGAGGAAGGGAATAAAAGAAAGAGAGAGACAGAGGGGAGGGGGAGGGGAGGGGAAGGGAGGGAAGGACAGAGGGAGTCTGGCAGGTGGTAACAAGGCAGAGCAAGAAGTCTGAATCCTACTTGGTGGAGTGCCGACAGTTCTGTTTTATTTGGGAGTTACTAGAAGACTCAAAGCCAGGTGGCACTAGAGACCTCTTGCAGTGGCAGTGAAGGTCACCCCAGCAGGATTACCACCTCTGTCTGAAGGACGTTCGGCTCTCAGGTTTCCTGTGTCCCTCCAGCCCTCCATCCCCTCTGTATTTCCCTCTTCCCCATTTTCTACCTTCAGTGTCTGCTGACTTCCAGCTCTCCACGGAGTTTTCTACCTTGGTAGTTAGTTTCACTGTCCTGTTGGAAGGTTAATACAGGATAGCAACACCTTTTTAAAACATTTTATTTTATTATTTTTATTTTATGTGTACGAGTGTATTGTCTGCATGTATGTGAGTGCACCTGTGTCCATGTCGTACAGTGCCTCGGAGGTTAGAAGAGGGCTTCGGATTCCCCTGGAACTGGAGTTAAGGGCAGTTTGTAGCTGCCATGTGGGTGCTGGGAATCGAACCCGGGTCCTCTGCACAAGCAGTCAGTGCTCTTAACCACTGAGCCATCTCCCCAGCCCTCAACACCGTTTTAAAAAAGAATCTTGCTGGGCATGGTGACTGTAACCTTAGAGGTCCAGAAACTGAGGCAAGAGGATTATGAGTTCAAATCCAGCCTGGGCTACCTATTGAGACTCTGCCTCAAACAAACAAACAAATACATAAATAAGAAATCTGAAATAGAATATAAAGAATATAATCCAATTGTAATGAAGAGTACATATGTGTGCACAGAGACCCTTGGGTATAAATCAGCACCACAAAGCACGAGCAGCTCTAAAACAGAAACATTTTTGTCCCTGTTGTTTCTCTTCATTGCCCAACTTTACTTCCCTTTTTCTCTTCATTCTTTCAACTTAAAATTTTTTATTTTTATTTTATTTTATGTGCATGAGTGTATTACCTGCATATAAGTAAGTGCATCCATGTCATGCAATGCTCAAGGAGGTCAGAAGAGAATGTTGGGATCTCCTGGAACTGGAATTATGGACAGCTGTTAGCCACCATGTGAGTGCTGGGAATTAAACCCAGGTCCTCTGCAAGAGCAGCCAGTGCTCTTAGCTGCTGAGTCATCTCTCCAGCCCCTTCTTTCATTTTTTTTTAATTAAGATTTGGTTTTGGTTTTTTGAGACAGGGTCTCATTAGCCCAGGCCAGCCTTGAACTCATTATATAGCCAGAGATGATCTTGATCTCCTACCTCAGCCTCCAAGTGCTGGGATTACAGGTGTGTGTCACTACACACATCTTCATTGTCCAACTCTTCCAGAAAACTACATTTGTAATATAGAAATAGAAATTATTGAGCTGGGTGTGGTGGTTTGCAGCCAACCTACATAGTGAGACCCTGGCTCAAAATCAAAACAAAATGCCAAACCAACAAGGGAGGGAGGGAAACAGATAAAGAGAGGAAGAAGAGAGAGATAAAAGGTTTTTCATACCTCAGGAGCCATCCATCTTATTGACTGACTTACTGACTGACTGACTGATTGACTGAGACAATAACCTCAGAAGATGGGAACATGGAAAAGAATCTGAACACACTGGCTTTGGTAAGTCCCCCATTTTATTAGTACTAAATCATGCCCCTCATGTCTGATCAATCACACTTCACAAGTGTCTGTTTCTTCATTCAGCACACACAAGTGGGACAGGTTTATCCTTTTCTTGGGTCTTTTCCTCATGAAGGCTCTCATGTCATATCAAGCTTATAGGAACGCTGTCACAGTAATTTGAGGTAGAAACAGTGGACGAAGTAGAATCCCCAGGTGGTAGTCTGCATTGAAAGGAAACGGGGCTGTACTGACTGGGAGAGATCCAGGCCACACAGAAGACCAGGCATTTAGAAATCTTTTCCACCAGACTCAAAGGAACTTCCCATGTAATACATCAATCAGTCTGGCCTGGAGACACCTGGACATTCTCCTTTCCCTGAGGGCTTTTCCCCCGTGATATGATAAAGAGATAGGGGATGGGGAGATGGCTTGGTTGGGAAACTGCTTGCCTTGAAAGCAGGAGGACCAGAACTTGATTCCCAGAACCAATGTTAAAAAAGAAAAGCTGGGGCTCATTGGCCAGCCAACCTAGCCTATTGGACAAATTTCAGGCCAGTGAGAGACTCTGTTACAAAGGGGCAAAAAAGGGGTGGGGTGGACAGCACCTGAGAAATAGCACCCAAGGTTATTCTCTAGCCTTCACACACACACACACACACACACACACACACACACACACGGTACACATGTACACTTGTGTGTACACATGTACACACAAAGAGCTAAGGGACAGTCACATAACATACATTGGTAACAGGGGAGGAGAGGAGCTTGGTGGGTAATGGACTCTTGGATTAAGGTCTCTTGTTCCCTGGAGGGTCCCTACAGATACTCAGGTGGCCAGCACCCTTATGGTGATCTCAGGATCCCCAGTCACTGACATCCCCCTGATGGCATGATTTGAATCTGGACCATAGGCTCATGTTTTGAATGCTCAGACTCTACCTTGTGGCTGTAGCTTGAAAGCTGTGGAGCCTTTAGGAGGTGGGGTGTGGCCTGTGATAATAGGTAACCAGGGGCAGGCTTTGAAAGTTATAGCTCAGCTCTGGCTCAGGTTCTATGGTCTCTGTATCCTGTCCATCACCATGTGAACAGGCTACTCCCTCCCACCACTGTGAATCTGCTGGGCCTTCCCCTCTCCTACCTTGATGAACTGAAATCCCTCTGAAACAGGAAACCCAAATAATCCTTTCCTCTTTACACTGTTTCTGTCAGGAATTTTGGCAATAATAGTAAGAAAAGTAACCAATACACTTCATTTCCTTGCCATGCCCACCTCCACTTCCCACCCTCCTTGACCCCTGACCCTGCCCTCTACCTCTCCCTTTCTCCTGGCATTTATCATCCTTGAATAAAATACACACCAGCTTGCTTTCTTGTTTATTGTGTCTCCCTGCTCAACAGAATGACAGTCGTATAGGTAGGGATGGTCTGTGGTCACTGTGGTT